ATGAAAGCGTAAAAGATCTAAAAAAGAAACAGAATTATGCTCGTATTTCGTTCGTTATTAACGAGATTTAATTTATGTAGATACTACTTATATGACATTCCATAATAATTTTGTTTTCACTTTTTTTCTGAATCTTTATTGTTTATTAAATTGAAAATTTTAATTTGATGATTAATTTCTCATCATTCCATGTTCTTAGTGAATAAATAGAAATTTAGGTCAAAACTTATGATCGGATCAAAATTTATATCAACTTAGTAAAATGTATCCTTTGTGTGTAGAATATGGTACTTTGATTTGTTAAATATAACAGATTACTATAGTTTCAGATAGTATGAATTACTTACTTACTTACGCCTGTTACCCCTCGTCGAGGAGCATAGGCCGCTCACTAGCATTTCTGGTTAGCGTTTTTTTTTAGTTGAGTTAGCTTTTCTACGGGATGGGGTCACTAACCCCATACCCAACCCTCATCCTTTACCCGGGCTTGGGACCGGAAGCAACTCTCGAAGAGCTACAGGTGGAGTTTATTTTTTTAGTGTTAATCATGTTCTGTCGTTCGAACATCCGAATGATTTCGGCTTTCATCATGATGCGCGATAATTCTTCGAGATGGAGATGCTTCGATTCGGAGGAATGAGTTTAAATTGTTTTTTTCTGGTTAGCGCTTTACAGTGGTTAATTCTCCTTTGAAGCGCAGATATAAGAAGCAGATTTTCTCATTACCTCCAACTGCACTTACCAATTTGCGTACACTTTCAAGGTATATGCATTGGAAGAACAGAGAGAAGAGTTCATGTTCGCATTTCCGAACACACACTATAGAATTTTAGACTGAGAGGCTTGACGGCTCTAAACAGTGTAATAGCTTCGTATATATCTGACCCGGGCATGATGTTGACACATACAAGCTTTCAAAAATATTAGCAGACAAAACCACGGCCTATCTTCGGTTTTCCGTAGCATCATCAATAAAAAGACTAAACCTGATTTATGTATCCAGAAAGAGACAATAATCAACTACCCTGGTAAACTATTTTTTGTTATTATCATTTTATTAGTGTTTATTTTGTTATATGATCTTCGCTTGACTAATTCTTATTTTATTACACCAAAATCATCCCTTCATTCACAAGGTTTTCATTCACCTAATCCTCTTAACTTATGTAAACTCTTCAAATTCTATTCAATTATTACATAACCCACCTTATCAATTTCTAATTCTAGTTTTCACAACCTTTAAAATTAACCTAGTCTATCTTATCTGTTTCTGGACCTCATATAATTACTGCTTCATTTAACCCCCATGCTTTTGAATCCCAACTCCAAATGACCTGAAACCTGTTCTTGCATATATATATATATATATGCTCAGGAAAAAATCTGATCATCCTAATGGGAGATCTGAATGTTAAAGTTGGAATGGACAACAATCGTTGATGAACGTGGAGGATCTGAAGCGGACGTAAAGGCGAAGATTGGCACGGCAAGGGCAGCATTCACCAAATTGAAGGACATATGGAACTCAAAACAACTGTCCGCAAGCCACTATCAAAGTCAGAATCTTCAATACAAACGTCAACACTGTTCTATTGTACGGAGCTGAAACTTCCAGAACTACTACAACCATCATCAGAAACGTGCAAGTATTTATAAATAATTGTCAAAGTAAGATACTGAATATCTGTTCACCAGATACCATCAGCAACAACCTACTGTGGGAGAGAACAGACCAGCTTCCGACTGAGGAGCGAATTACGAAACGACGTTATAGGACATACATTATGGAAATCATCAAACTACATCACATGGCAAGCGCCAACATGGAATCATGTTAGGAAGAGGAAGGCCAAAGAACATATTGCGTCGAGATTCGGAAGCAGATATCAAAAGCATGAATAGCAAATGGAAAGGGTTGTCCCCAAATGCCCCGGAACGGCTGAGAGTGGGGAGGGTCCACCCCCTCTCTCTCGAAATGCTCTCACACAGTCACGCGTATACAGCCTATGTCGGGGAAGTCAGACTCACTGCCTTCTCGCGGTATTGCTGTTATTTATAAAATTGAGAGGACGAAAAGCGAATGTCCGGCGCTTTAACCGGGTTGGTAGACACGGAAAGTTCACATAGGGGAGTTTGAAAACACTGATTCCAAATCAATGATGAACATTGGCTCTAGTAACCTGAGGGAAAAAATGGAATATGAACCAATCGTTGGTCATTGGCTACCATGGGACTGCATCTCCTGACGTTGCTTCACTGCCTTGTGGATCAGACCTTAAGGTCGAAGGTTACAGGTGTAGCCTCCTAAGAAAACGATCTAGTTAAGCTTGGGCGCCCAGGCAGCACTCTAGCCCTCACAAAAATCGAATGACAAAGCGTGACGCACATATAATCGATGCCTCCTTGGAGCAAATTTTATTTAAATAAATAAATTGAATAGAGGCATCACTGTGAATAAACCGACTACGTGTTGTATGACAATAACCATGCCATTCCCGGTGTAAAAAAAATTCGAGGTACAACAATGATTGATTTCCTCACTTGTATGATTCTTAGCTGAGTTGAAGTAACTTTTACGTTGAATACATCAAGGTTTGAGTCTTATTCACTAAGATTTTCTCGTCATGTTCTGTGCATGGCTGATCGTTTTGAACACGGAAATTCGATGGAAACATTTCAGATGTGAAATCAGTAAGCGAGTAGTGATGAGTTTGGTTATTTTGGTACATACCTTATATATGTTAAACGTTATTGGTAAGATTCCTTATTAAAATATTAGAAATTCTTGTAGTGAAAATTAGAACATATAACCGAACAGTATTGTTTTCAATTAGATCCTCAAATGGTATTACCCTAATGAACAGCAATGTTCGTGCTGTCCTGGAGAACATTTGATCAACTCTCATCATAATTTATTGGTCTAAAATATTTTCGTTGCAGGTTGGTCACATATGTCGAACAGAGCACTTAACTATTAGACTACTCGGTCGGGGTTCAATAGTATATCAAATCTAACTTCATTCAGTACCAAAAACTGTGGTACAATCTTTTAACCTTCTTGATGAAGATTGTATCAATACCAAACTAGTTGAGCCCAAACAGTGACGACTTCACAATGGGAAATTACCAATTTATTTCAAAATAAACCAATGTAGTCAATAATTCACGAATATCGCCTACACATTTCACAAACCTCAACACCTAAAATATTTTGTAAAAAACGACTACTGATCCTTCAATAAAATATGGAATATCTGGTCAACGAGAGTGACTGCCTACAATTCGAAGGACCGTTTTGTTTTGCTCAAACTGTATATATGTGGAAATGCAACCATAAACTGACTCACGCGAATCGACATTTATTTTCTAGTCAATTTCATCTCGTATTTCATAAAACACTGGAATGAATAAGGATACATATTTCGCAACTGTCATTAGATAATACAAAGTCGAGTTAGTCCACCAAAATACTTGAGTTTCAGCAAGATTTAGCTGTAAATCTGTAGTAAACATAAGTTAGTTACAATTTCATGAAACACTGTTAAATCGCTTTAGCTTACGTAAACACATCAGTCGTAATTACCACATCAATGTTATATACGATAATCGGTTCTTTCGATGGTCGGAATAAAAGTGAAGTATTGTAGCCAGACTGGCCCGATTGAACTTGTTCTAGTATTTCGAAAAATTTATGTACATATAGACATCATAGCGAAAGTAAGGATATAAGGAAAATTCCCGAAAAGTAGTTAGCTAAACGTAAAGTAATTCAACTATTTTTCCTTGCTTTAATTAATATCATCACTGTCACGAGGATTTCGAAATATCACCAGATCGTTCCACATATAAATCAGTTTTGTGTTCGATAAAATTAACAATCCATTAACTGGTTCGCTTATGGTTACGGTGAAGTCATTTAACAGCTTCTATGAAGAGAGTTGACATTGTTTGGCCAGCCATTGTTATGTACCGTACTCGCAATTTTTGTATTTTGGTTATTATCCACTTATAAACAAAAGGAAAAGCAAAACTCTCCGATACAATACAATATGCACCAATCGAGTTACACCTGACGGAAAAGCCTTGGAGGATGTAAAACCCTTTACATATCTGGGCATCATCATTGATGAACATGGTGGATCTGATCTCGATGTGAGAGCGAGGATCGACAAAGCAAGAGCAGCATATATACAACTGAAGAATATCTGGAAATCAAAACAATTAACAACCAAAACCAAGTTTAGAATTTTCAATACAAATGTCAAGACAGTTCTACTGTATGAGGCGGAGACGTGGAGAACTACGAAAGTCATAATCCAGAAGATACAGGTGTTTATTAACACTTGTCTACGCAAAATACTTCGGATCCGTTGGTCAGACACTATCAGCAACAACCTACTGTGGAAGACAACAAACCAGATTCCATTGGAGGAAGAAATCAGGAAGAAGCGGTGGAAGTGGATAGGACACACTTTGAGGAAATCACCCAACTGCGTCACAAGACAAGCCCTCACATGGAATCCTGAAGGCCAACGGGGAAGAGGAAGAACAAAAAAAAACATTATGCCGAGAAATGCAGACAGACATGAGAAGAATGAACAAAAATTGGATAGAACTAGAAAGGAAGGCCCAGGAGAGAGTGGGTTGGAGAATGCTGGTCGGCGGCCTATGCTCCATTATGAATAACAGGCGAAGGTATTATCGACTAACGTATTTCTAAATTTTCCAAGTTCATCACCAGTTCATAAAAATAAATATGCTTTTTATGATAATAAATTAGTGAATGATATTAATATGAATAGTAAGTCAATCTTGTCGTTAAAGTCGAGGAATTCATGACTCAGAAAGAAAACCTATAATTCATCCGAAACCTCGAAATCTACAGCAACAACAGTTGGAATCTCATAAATTTTATTAGAAAATTAGAAAAAACAAAAAAACAATATGTTACATATTACATTCAGAAAATAAAAGAAGAAAAGATAACTGATAAGATGAGATCATTGTAGTTTAAGTGCTCGAATTTCATTGACAGCGAAATCACGTCTGTGAAACAGATTTAATGAAGAAATATTAAAATATAATTAATATACTGATGAATTTATCTTAAAAGTACTTTTTTAAAAGAATAAAAAACGATAATGAACATTGAATAAAACCCTGAAACAATGACGACAACGACGACTAGGCAAAATCTCGCGAGGCGGGATCGTGGATGCGGACTGCTGAGGAGTCTCAAAATAGGACGAAACAGCTGTCCAGTGCTTCCAGGTTTACCTTGATAGTCTAACTTCAATTGACTCATGTTTTCAACTATGAACGTAAAATAATGGTCTGATTATTTGGTCATAGTCATTTTGCTCAAAGCTTGAGTTCGAAACCTAAATTATTACAGGAAGACATATTTTATCAATTGTTGTTGTGAAATTGCAATGAAGAAAATAGTTAACCTGAAAAAGCTAATGGAAGAAATCAACAAAACTTGCTTATAATGTAAGCAACCGATTCTTAAACTAGACACGTATTGATTTCACGCATTCCATCACAGATGCGTTCTGTGTGGTGTTAATGTAGGTCAGAACCAGAGTCAATATTGCCTTAGTTAAGTGTAAGGTCCTAAAAGCGAGTGGTAAGTCGATGAATAAGACGCTAACTTTATTCAATGCTTACACAGATATCTAATAGTGAACAGAATCGCAGCAGGTTGGAAGACGGTTAAGAAGCTCAAAAAAAATTCTTAACAGTCCATGAAGTTACTAACTATTTGATTGAGCTATGTCATTGGTTGGAATTTTCATAAACCGAATGATAGTGGGTCATTGTGCCAGAAAAGTATTTAACGAACACCCTGTTTGTTTTAAAAGACACAGATACAGTACCACGTTGATTGATTATCCTACTTTTACAAATTCAACGAACTAAAGATAGGGAGTGAAGTAGTCGAACGCGTCGACAACTTCACTTATCTTGGAAGTCTGATCAGCCATAATGGGTTGGTGTCTGACGAAATCTCTGCACGGATTGAAAAGGCTCGTTTGGCTTTTGCCAACTTACGTCACCTATGGCGAAGACAAGATGTCCGTCTATTAATTAAGGGACGAGTATACTGCGAAGCAGTCCGTTCTGTTTTACTTTACAGCTGTGAAACATGGCCATTAAGAGTAGAAGATACTCGTAAGTTACTAGTATTTGACCACAGATGTTTTAGAAATTTGCTCTAACCGGGTAAGTAATAGTGAGGTTAGACACAGGGTATTAGGGAATGATGGTAAATCAGTTGATGAGGTTGTGAATCTTCATCGACTGAGATGGTTGAGCCACGTGTTACGTATGCCTGAACACCGATTACCGCGACGCGCTGTGATGAGTAGTATTGGGGATGGTTGAAAGAGAATTAGGGACGGCCAAACAAAAACGTGGTATCAGAGCTTGAAGTCACTAACTTCTAGCCTTAGCCATGTTGGTAGATGCAGACTACTTGGTGGGGGTCCGCGTGACTATCGTAAACAATGGTTAGAGATACTAGGTGACATGGATCAGAATCGTTCACAATTGCGTAGGTGTATACACTCTTTATTTTCTCTTCAACCTTCAGATTAAAATTGCTTCATAACGTTCTTCCTTCCTGTACTATATCCTTATATACAAACTTTCTTTTATATATTACCACCACTAAATTAACTATTTCTATGAATCCGGTGTTCATCTTGTTGTGCTAACGAGGTATGGCAACTTGGACCGATGCATATATGTGCCTGGTCCTAAGATGTAGCTGACTGAATTACGAATTCAACTATATTAAATCAGCTAATCTAGTATAGAATGATCCCGTAAAATTAAATAAATGGATTGAAGATATCTGTTTTGACGTGAGTTCCTTCGCATTCATTAAGTAACTCAAAGAAGTAACTTTTGCAATAATGGCTTTTCAATACATAAAGGATCAAAATCGAAAATGTTCGAAATTGATAAGTTAACACAAAAGATTTTTGATAAATAGAAAGTCATTATGCCTCCTTATATATGTATATAATATTAAAACTAACCTTAGAGATAGAATACTTCTGACCTCGTGTGCAGTAAGACGCCAACTAGAACTATTCCAATAATAATGGACTTCTTCAACCTGGAAAACCGCAAACATATTGAAAACAAACGCATAACAAACAAAAGGCGAACTGCTCTATTTGTTGTGAGTGATGTTTTAGAATAACAGGAAACTACACAACATTAATAACATCATCAGAAGTGGTTTTGTGGAGATTTAGTATTTTCATAGTTGAAAGCGTAAGTCAATTGAAGCTAGACCAACAGGAAAAACCTGGAAGCACTGAACGGCCGTTTCGTCTTATTGTCTATCAGTTAAATGCTCTCGCGCGAGACTAATAGGTCCTAGGTTCGAATCTCTTGAGGCAAAGTCGTGGATGCGCACTGCTGTGCAGTTCCACATTGGGACGAAACGGCCGTTCAGTGCTTCCACGTTTTCCCTGGTGGTCTAGTTATAATTTACTAACACTTTCAACATTAATAAAAGACTGTGATATGTTTTTCTTGGTTAGATTACAATAGTTGAAATATTTATCGGCTACCTGAGATTAACCTCAGACCTTAAAAAATATACACTTTTCCCGACCGCTGCTGCTACCTTGACGTGATGGTCGGGCTTGCCTATTGTGATGAACCAATCAAGCTATACTGGCTGGAACAATTGTCACTCAAGATCCTACCATGCCAGACTGATCGGTTGAAGAGCGATAAGACTAAAAGCAGCAAGCCAAACGTCCGAAATCGTTCTGCTGACTGTACAGAGGTGTGACGGCAGTAAGGTGTTTCCTTTAAACAACCAGCATAACAGCGATGCTGCCTTCCCACAAGGAGGTGTGGGGTTAGAAAAGGTCGACCTTAGGCATGCATACCTCACCTTATCCCACGGATATTCGTCTCCGGCGGTAAGGTCCCAACAAGTATGGAGCTAACACAAAAACTACCAACAAAAAGGTTGTGTGTGACCGACCTCAGGTGATTTATTCAAACAAATATTTTGTTCTACACTTCTTTAAAATCAAGATAAGTTTACTTAGAAGATCATTTGTAATCTAGAATTTTTCTCAATATAAAAATTAAAATCTTTAAATTGATGAGAAAATAATTTTGAACTCACTCGATCCAAATTTAAAAGTCTACAGATCTGTAAACTACGCGTGAAATAATCACGCAAAGAACTGTAAGATATCGATGTTAAATAGGCAAACAAATTATGATATTCTTTCTTTAACTGAATAGCTCCAAACTATTTTGAATAAAAAGAAAAGAGATTGAATAGAATTCAATATGAAAAAAGAAAAAGGCATAGGACATAAATGAACCTCAAAATGGAAATATTCCATAGTAACAAGAAATGAACTTACTTAACTGAATGATTTCCTTTGAATAAATTGATCAAGTCTATGCAAAATTTCGTTTATGAGAATCAATACAAATCGATCGTTATTCTCAGTTGATAAGACAGACTATAATGAGGGTAAAAACAAAAGAAACAAACAGTTTATTGGATAATAATAATAATAAATAACTGCTCATTATTGTACATTTTAATTAAAACATCTACGAAAATCCTACGGAAGCACATACAGATTCAGTTAGGAAAGGACAAGAGGCTTGATGGCCTGAGTGAGTCCTGGCAATGATGGTTTCTCAGCTGATTATTCAACGTCATGACTTTTATCATACAGAAAAAAACTACGATTACTAAAAGTAATACTGATTAGAAGATATTGGATAGAAATTATAAGTAACAAAATAATAAGAACTATATACATATCCTTTAAAGTCGGTGAAAACTACTGCGTCTTTCAAAGTTTTGTATTTTACATATAGATATACATCACTTTATACTATAAAGTGAATGATCAAGATAACTATGAAATTATAAAATCAATAAACTTAATGATGATAGCTAAAAGTGTATGGAATGAATTCGATAGATATTTTGCTGTTATATCCCGAAGAGAATTATGGGTGGTACCTTTTGGATCAACACCATGTGTGTATTTTTTATTGTATAATTGTTAAGTAAGTAAACTATTCATATTCATGTTCCTTTTATTATGACCTTTATTTTGACCTATGAAGTAATATTATACGATTTACCATTCTTGAGTTATGCCCTGTCTACAAAATAGTATATCCCTTATTCACAGCCACATTTGGCTGAATCTTGTATAAATGTTATTTTCTATTTTATGGTACGATGTGGTCTGTCTGGTTGGTATATAAACTCAGTATGTTTGAAATATATACCGCTGAGGCTGAGATTGGTGTTCTGGACTTAATTGGCTGGTCTAGGCAGAAAGCAGGACCGATAAGTACTCTAGACTGCTTGTAAGGGTTTCCTGTGTCATTGGTCCGATCGATAAGTCACTGCTCTCCAATTGGAGGAATCATCACGTCATAAATTAATCGGGGTACAAACCACAAAACGTAACAAATGGAGTTTACAGGTTATAACAGTTGCCCACGTAGTAAGTGCTGAAAATCATATACTTCAATTCATCTAGTATCATAGATAAGCGCTTTGGAGCAATAAAGTAGAACAAAATAAAAGCTTCAGTTAATGCGAATGTGGTAAACATGTCTCTTTATTAAACAAAACACAAAAAAATAATCTAGTTATGAAATCATGGAAGCTGTATTTGAAAAAATTAAATAGTTGTCAAGAGAGTCAGTCAGCTATAACGTAGGACAAGGCACATTTATATTTCACTCCAAGTTGTCAAGAGAGCAATCATGTGGTCAATGAGCATGCTAGTCAGTCACACAATTTAGTTATAATCCGTTTTTCCAGCGTTATTATTATTATCATCAAGTATTCTTGTATAAACAATAGACGTGCAACAAAACGATTTATATGAATTCGCGTATTCACAAATTATATAGCTACAGTTACATAAACAGTATGATTATAAAAAATAATTAAAGTATCAAACTTTAATACCCTAAATGGTTTAAGAAAATCCTCTGTATGAGCTATACATGATTCAATCCATCTATCATTAGCAGCGAAAACATCTAAATCCTCCTGAAATAAAAGTAAAAATAAACAGAAGAAATAATGTCATGAAAAATGGTTTCACCAAATAAATATTGTTATTTTCATACTTCAAATCATGAGTCAATTGAAGCTAGACCACCGTGGAAAACCTGGAAGCACTGGACAGCCATTTCATCCCATTATGGAACATCTCAGCAGTGCGCATCCACGATCCCGCACTCGCAAGATTATTATAAATATTATTATGGATATGATTAAATAAGAAATAATAAAATTCATGTCATCGAAAATCTAAATAAAGATCCTCATCAATTTTTTTCATTATAGGAATCGCACATGTGACATAAGCTTCTTGATCAGTCATCGTGATATGAGTTGAAACTGTCCCTAGGTTAGGGTTAGGGGTCACAAACTGACATTCAAGTTGATGACATTAGTATCAATATATTTTCAGTAGATAATACAGAAAATGACAAAAATGGCCAAGGTAGTATATCAGACCAGACAACATAAATCACGAGCAGGAATATTGTGTAATAAATTGGTAGGTACTCATAAGTAATATACTTGGAATAACTGCATAAATATCACAGGCCTCGTCATTGGTACATAACCATAGGAACCTCATTAATATTAACTAGGTAAGAATCTACATCTTTTTTCAACTCATAACTGTTAGCAATTTATCAAGTTATTGTAAAATCGCCATAAAAATTTTAGAATTGAAGTGATTTTCATCATTAGTTCAGATTTTCTTCTACATATAATTCCCTGAAACGAAGTAAATTTACAAAGTGAAAAGAATTAATACCATTTTATTAGACTGAAGCCAGGTTATTATCACTTGTCAAAGAAAAAAATGTTTGTAAATAATCTAGGGACTAGTGAATCTGTACATCAAAGACGGTGAATTAATATTTCCAAGCAGAGAAACGGAAATATACAGTCGATATTATTCTACTAGAAATTCAATGGTAGTAGTTATACGTTGGCTACGCAAGTAAAACCAATATTTCCATTAGTAACTATAACCTATGTTTAAGATTAAAACACCAAAGCTACAAGACCTTAACAGTCTAAAGACTTTTAAAACACTGGTAGAGTAGTAAAAAATAACACATGACAAAGTATTCTACTATTCAAAAATTCCACACTATCACGAAGTACTAGTAAAAACGATAACTATGACGTAAGAACGAAGGATGTTGACTAAAGTGATAGTTAACTGGTGAAGGGATTTGGTTTTCAGCAATTAGGTTCCAATTCTGAGTTCCGACCCACAAAACTCAGTCTCGGCAACTAGGTCGTATCAAACACTTGAATTATGGTTTGAAATCAAGTATCCAGTAATGAGGTAATGACGTTTGAACGCCATAACAACTAATCCCAATTTAACAAACACTACATGTGTTATATGCAGTTATCTGATAATAGCCATTACAGTTTAATACCCAAATCTTAGACAAGCTAAGCTTTAAAAATACGTTGGTATTGTTTTACTTATGTAAGGGTAAAAAATAGGCCAAAAAAATAATAACAATTAAGTCAAGTCAATACGAACCATTGTAATCTGGTATGAAAAACCACACTAAGCATTAGTACCAATAAATTTACTGTATTAGATAAGATGGTGGTTGGAGGTGGTCACCAGGAAACCCTGAATCCGGATTTCGTGCTGCTTGGCACTCGTCAGCAAGGTGCATCTGTAATCATGAGGGAACTGGTCCCCTCTGACAGGATCGATCCCGCGTCACTCAGCTTCACCGTCAGAGACGCTACCACTGAGCGATTCGGGCCGAAACTGACCTCCTGTAGGACTGAGATGTAATCACAGTTGATTGATCACAGGGTGGTGATCGATGTCATGCGTGTCAAGTCCTTCTTAGTGCTGATCGAATGTTATCGATCAAATTTACTGTATCGGTAATGTAAACTATTATTTTACGTCACTTGTAGAAGAAGTATATAAGGATAAATAGATCATGGTGATTACAGGAAAAAAATAGAATTAAATAATCCTTTACATTCTTACCTCAAGTAAATCATATTTCAGTGACGTGAAAACATTTAACAAAGTTTTTACTTGACTTTGAATAACACTAGTTGAAAGATGCTCGAAAGCAGAATCAAGTAATGCTTGAAGTTGATCTGAGATAGAAACTTTTAATTCCGTGATACACATCTTAAATGAGATGGAAGAAAGTGTGTAAAAATCAATGCAATAGAGACAACAAGTAAAAATTGGAATTGTAAGAAATGAAATTATCTTTATAAAAGGACATATAAAAAGTAATGATACTAAATAGGAGTGGACGGGGAAAGAATCCAGTATATAAAATTTTCATATATTGTTGCAAATTAATTATTACAATTATAGGGTATTTTTTGCAATTCAAGATTGCTTTGTGAAGGTTTTATCACTTGGTCTCGTGTGCAGTTACGGGTATGAGGGCTAATATCAATTCCCGGCTGCCCACATCGTGGAAGGGTATTTCTTGAGGGACGTGAAAAGGAAGTTGGATTAATTTTGGTCTTAAGGACTTGGGCTGTAGAGCCCAAGGGACAACTGCTTGAGGCCTGTCACGCACGGCCTTTTTGTGGGGGATTTTTGACGTGTTGGCTCCGTTCTTCAAAGGGATTTATCGCCGGAGAAGGAAATCCATGGGATATGACAAGTGTGCATTTTTAGGGTTGACCTTTTCTAACGCAACCCCTCCTTGTGGGAAGGCGGCATCGTTGTTATGCTGGTTGTCTGGAGGAAACACCTTACTGTCGTCACACCTCTGTACAGTCAGCAGAACGATTTTGGACGTTTGGCTTGCTGCTTTTAGTCTTATCGCTCTTCAACCGACCAGTCTGGCATGGTAGGACGTTGAGGAACGATTGTTCCAGCCAGTATGGCTCGACTGGTTCACCACGATGGGCAAGGCCGACCACCACGTCAAGGTAGCAGCAAAGGTCGGGATGAAATGGAGAGGATGAAAAGAGAAGGTCCGGTGCTTTAATCGAGTTGGTAGTTCATCCTAAGGGAGTTGGCATATCCTGAACATGGGCTCTAGTATCCTGAGGAAACAAAAGGAGTATGAACCTATCGTTGGTCATTGACTACAATGGGACTGCATCTGCCTACGTTGCTTCACTGCCTTGTGGATCAGACTTCTATGTCGAAAACTCGGTGTGTCACCCCCTAAGAAAACCACCTGTTTCGGTCTTGGCACCCGGTCATTATCATAGCCCCACACAATTAAATGAAATGACAATTTATTGTGTGGCGCATATATATCTGGTGCCCCCTTGTACCAGTATTTATGTGTTCAAATAAATAAATAAATAAATGTCGAGAACAGAGTTGGATGAAGAACGCTAGTTGGCAGCTTATGATCCTCGACGTGAAGTAACAAGCGTGAGTAAGTAAGTCTTAAACTTCACAGGTGTAGAACGCGTGTATTTGTCATCACCCGTTATAAATACTCAATCCAACCTAGCTAAATAAAACTCAATATATTCGAATTAGTTATATATCAGATCGTACTATTAAATATAAACCTATAAGTTACAGCCATTGTAGTCTAATCAAAAATGGAAGCGACTATTTATTGTTTCACTAAATGATAAATGGGAATATGCATAGAAACACAAGATGTACATTATTAAACACTTAAAATCATAGAAAAAGTTAAAACATACATTAAGTTTCTGTGAATTGATTTCTTGATTTTGATAAAGTAAATTTAATTCACTTTCAAGATGATTAACAAGAGACAGTAAATTCTTTTGAGATGCTTCAATACTATTAAGAATAACTAGAGAATGATATCTTGCGAGTGCATTAGGTCCAATCATATTAAATGATGATACTGTTGGAACATTGACAGTAGATGAAGAAGAACTAGGTGAACCAGCTAAGATGAACGATTAGATGAACGAAAATTGCATAAGAAAAGATTTGGCAGAATGTTTATCATAGAAAATTAATTTGACTATCAATTTAAACTAATTATAAAATTATAAGCAAAGATGGATAGTGGCTAGCAGTGGAATCCAGGATGCGCGTATCGTCCTATTTGGGACTCGTCACTTGCTGGATGTACCTGCATCTCAGAGTTGATGTTCACTCTGCGAATCGAACTCAGTACCCTCGCTTCAAACGCCATCGCGTTATCCACTCGGCCACTGAGTCCTGATAGCCACTTGCTTGTGCGATGGGGTGAAGTTTAAATTCACTTAGTATTGTTTGTTTGAATCTTCCAATCGATGTGTTAGGACTGCAACTGGTCAGTCTCTAAATAGGACGAAACGCGCGTCAAACTGGATTCCACTGCTAGCCACTATCCATCTTTGCTTATAATACTTGTGAATCAAGGCTATATCGAGGCAATACGCACAGTATGCTCATACGCCATTTAGAGACTGATCAGTTGCAGTCCTAACACATCGATGGGAAGATTCAAACAAACAATACTAAGTGAATTTAATTATGAAATTCTGAGATTCGGTTCACCAAAACACTGACTAACTTTATTAGCAACGACTTACAGTAATACAAGCAACACCCTTATTTGAAGTAAAAATGATACAAGAGGCATTCTGATGGATGTGAAAAGCTCTGAACTGTCAAGTATATACCTAAATTTCTTAGACATGTTTTTTTCAAGAAGAATTAGGTAATCTGAATATACCAAATCAACTTCAGAAATGTGGAGTAAGATATGAAAGTGATAAATAACTATCATAAAGTGTTTGATTGAATACTGGCCTATAGTTTGAAGTAGTTTCTACTGCGTTCAGGTTGCAGTGAGAACTTCAACAAGAGGATGTAGACAAATCCAGTTGACGAGTCACAAATGAGAAGAAACGTATATTGTGGATCCCACCATTAATCAAACGAAGACACGATTCCCGTGATTCGGTAACTCCGTAGTAAAATGGTTGAGAATGGATACCTATAAAGTACTCACTCGTATGTTAGTATTTGGTAGAGATAAATAAGTGTTATATATAAAAAGGCAAATAACCAAAACTTTATATGGAATCAATTTTTTGTAAGAAGTGTTATTTGGGACTCTTAGAGGCTTGGTAGAGGAATCTAGCTTACCCACAGCAACACTATTCTGAACATAACTGTATGCATCTTGCACCCAACCTGAAGGAAACCCTGTACGAATAATGTTGCCCAGAAAATCATTTACCATAAGATCAACTAGTATTGAACAACTACGATTCACCATAGCACAAATAGTATCCACATTGCCAGATGAAAGAGATCGTTTGTTAAAAGAAATAAAAATAATTTCAGTATAACTGAAGTGAGTCGGATGTTATTATTTATTTTATTTAAACAAATAAATATTGGTACAAGGATGCACCAGATACATATGCGCCTCACAAATCTCATTCGACTTGTGTGAGGGCTGTGATACTGCCCAGGTGCCCAGACTGAAGCAGGTGGTTTTCTTAGGGCGCCACACTCCTAGTCTTTGACCTGAATGAAGGTCTAGTCCACAAGGCAGTGGAGCTTCGTGAGTAGATGCGGTCCCATGGTAGCCGGTGATCAATGATTGATTCGTACGCCATTTGTTCCATCAGGATACTGGAGCACATGTGCACCATTGGTTTGGAATCAGGGTTTTCCAACTCCCCTAGGTGGACACTCCACATCCACCAACCCGGTTGAAGCGCCGGACATTCGCTTTTCGTCCTCTCACTTTCGTAAACAACACCCCCGCCACGAGAAGGCAGTGAGTAGGACTTCCCTGGCAGAGGCTATATATTCGCTGGCCATATGAGAGCATTTCGAGAGGGAGAGCGGACTCTCCCCACTCTCGGCCGTACCAAGGCATTTGGGGGCTTCCGGCAGCTACTGGAAACAGCTGCTGTTTCCAACTCGCTAGAACGCTCCGAACACCAGACTCCTCGGTTCTCATGCAAGCTCTACACAATTTCACTATGCAGAAATCTTTGTTTATGGTCAAACTCGCGGTCACCTGGAGCAGGACGGGCTTCAATGAGTTGCAAGCAACCTGTAGAAACCCAGTATTCGTAAGCGGGACATTTCGAGAAGCTGCAAGCGGCTTTACTCGCTATCTTCATGGCGTCCAGTAATTTCAACCAATTATCATCTATACTTTTCAGTGGGATGTTAGCTTGCCTTGAAACTAGTTCGGTTTGACATTTAGTTACAACAGAAGCTGCAACGAATTTACTGCCATCGATGATATTGCTGGCCACTGAAAAGAAGGGTAGGATTAGCGCAAACAAAGGCATGATCAGAGTCCAGATAGGTACTTCAAAAAGAGCGGCAGTCTTGTACACAACCACGCCAGTGGTAGCTGATCGCGATGTGATCAACCTGAGTCTAGGCTTCAGATGCGGAGGAGGGGGCCAGGTGGCACATCGGCGATGACTATGCCGGCAGTTAGTGCTAGCCAGAAACAGGTTGTGGTCTGAGCACAGTTGCGGTAGACAGTCCGCGTTATCTGACCTCCGATCAACAAGTCCCCATCTAAACTGCTCTCTCTCTCGTGCCTAGACGCCCAACCTGAGCATTCAAGTATCTGACTAGTACTACAATATCTATCGATCGCACTTTCGGTCGAACAACTGTTAACTGGTGGTAGAACTCATCCTTGATCGCATCCGGGCTACAATCTGTCTGAGAGAAGATGGAGGTGACAAAAAGACATCGTTCCTCACACCGATTTCTTCTCATTTTGATGGAACTTGCTAACCAAACAGCACATAACCGATCTTTAATGGGGATCCAATCGGTCGGTGCTGCCTGAGCTCTAGAGCTTAGCGTGACACCAATGCCAGCGATACAAGACGAAGATGCCACAGGACCCCCGGGAAAACGCACGTGAAACAAGCTTACTGAAGGAACAGACAGGGAACAAACTTGCAGTACTTCACTCGAGTTTTGAATAGGAGTCTTGGATGGGCAACAGATATCTATTTGAGACTTTCTAAAGACATACCCAACCTTATCTGTTGTCCGGTCTGCATTAGTGTGGGAACGTTGTAAGGGGCCAATTTGATTGGTACACATAGTTTCTGAACGACCTGTTCAGTATTCGTAGTCGGTGATAGCACTCAACTTTCGACCAGTCGGTGACTGGAGGTCGTTTAGACAGGATAGGGTTTTTTCCATAGGCGTGCTGCTGTGTAAGTTGAAAAGTGAAATACGCAAAATGAGAATGAAAAGGGACTAAATAAGTGACGTGGTATAAAAGAAACAAAAACGAATTCTATCAGATGATCGTGAATATAATTTTCCTGAATGAGAGTTGAAGCAAGAGTAATTTTTCCAGTAGTGATTATCATTTGATTTGTATGCGGGCTAAGATACTGCCCAGGCACCCAAACCGAAACAGGTGGTTTTCTTAGGGGGCCACACCCCGAGTTTTTGACATAGAAGTCTGATCCAGAAGGCAGTGAAGTAACGTCAGGAAATGCAGTCCCATGACCAACAATAAATTCATACTCCATTTGTTCCCTAGGCATACTAGAGCCCATGTTCAGGAATTGCCAACTCCCCTAGGTTGATCTACTAACCCGATTAAAGAGCCGGACATTCTTTTTTCATCCTCTGGATTTCATAAACAACAGTAATGCCGCGAGAAGGCAATGAGTAGGATCAGTTTTTACCAATTACAGAAATAACCCATACAAGTTAATTTTACTCTGGAGAACCAGCTTTCATGAAGTTATGTAACAATATGAATTTCTTTTTTACACTTTAAAGGTTTTATTAATCAGACAGTTAACAAGACGTTTTCAGCATTATACTGCTAATTTCAAATAAACTAAACTTACGGTAATTTTATAGAAGATATAATAGCAATAGAAGGTACAATCAATACGCTCAATGATAATGGTAATTACCACCTTATATATAATGCCTGTGTTTATCTACTACATACATAAATATGATAATAAATATTGTAAACAAGATTTTGTTGAAGTGTTAGAAATTTGTATAAACTGATTACTGAAGATATGATCTTATAATAAACTGGTAAACAACTGACTTATATTACAGTAAACGGAATCTAGTCAAAATATAAAATTCCAATGTTCACAAAATCAAATCAACCGGATAACAGATGCAATGAAGATGTCAACAATCATTAGCAGTTAAACTTTGACCATTGAAACATAATAATATAAAGAACTAGTAGCTAATCATAATATAACAGGAACTATTGATTCATTATTTAGTGGCTGGTAAGAGTGATGAATGATGATATATTTCAACGTGATCTTATGAAAAACACTTAGGATGGTTAACACTGGCAAACAGAAAACTTTTTGTCTTACGTCATATTTCCAATAAATTTTCAATATGATCCTTTCATGCACCTGATGGGAATCGTATGATACTTGGAGTGTATGTAAAGATAGGATAACCAACTGAAGGATAGTGAAAGCTAATGTGATGGATTTTCAGAATCCACAGTTAGCAAAACAATATACTATATATAAAGAAGCTATAATACTACTGGTGGTTCATTGAATGAATGGGCACATTTATACTTCGTAATCATTTACATCAATCAGTCAGTCAGTCACAACGTAGAACTTCGTACGTACGTACGTACATCAGTTCGAGTTGCCATACCACATTAACACAGAGAGATGCAGTTGTCGATTCAAATCCCATAGTGGTAGAAGTATTAAGAGTATAAGCAGTAATCAGAAATTTCCGTCAACTAAGAAAACCGAATTTCCTGAAAATATGAAATACACTGCTAAGACCTCAACGCTTAGAGAAAATCATTAGAGCTGGGTCATTACAATTATATTACCTTACTAAATTGAAGTTAACATAATTCGCAACAAAATAATTGTAACTTACATAAGACTTTTTTTGGTGATGAAAAATACATCGTCAATAAAACACCATACATTACTAGATGTGTCGACTTCATTTGAACGTAATGCCTTGCAAAACAAATAATTGAAATAAATTCAGATTAGAAATGATGTTCATCCATTAAGGGTGAAACTAACGAACAAGCGAAAAAAGTCTGGGTTTGAACTGTTAGTAATGACAACTACAATGTTTTTATCTCGAGATTGAGCAGAATGATGTAATATTAAGGCATCTATTAATTTTCTAGTTAACATTAGCAGAAAGTTTACAATAAAGTTAGCGATCAAAACTGATTTTCATATATATTTTAGTAGTTTAAGATTGATTCCTATCCCAAAGTATGTTATCACCACTTGAACAAATCCAAATACATCAGAAACAAATTATCTACTTCATTTGACGAAATGTAGTTATTGCTGCTGCTGTGAAAGCAGAAGTGATTTGAAGCCTATCAAGAACGACGAATTGAAATATTAGTAGTAAAATCCTCTATTCAGTCTACAAATGCGCCAAAACAGAAAGTAGATATAGTTGTCAAATCCGATGTCCTCAACAAAGCCAGGTTTATTAGAAACAAGACATATTTTAATTCATACAGAGTAAGTTGTAAAGAGATGTTTCCTTAAAACCCACATGCCGCCATACACTTTTATTACAGCTGGTGTTGAATACCGAAGTGGGGATGTTTAATTGATGCAATGAATGACAAAGGTTTACAGTTCCACAGGGGAAAAGCTACCAAGCGATTATAGATGAATTCAGTGAAAACGAAGCATAAATCTAGGACATTTCGTCAATTGTCTTTGTAAATATTGGTAGGTCCTGGGTTCGAATCTCGCGAGTGCGGGATCGTGGATGCGCACTGCTGAGGAGTCCCATAATAGGATGAAACGGCCGTCCAGTGCTTCCAGGTTTTCCATGGTGGTCTAGCTTCAATTGACTCATGATTTCAACTTTGTAAATATACTTCAAATGTAGTCATTTACAATAAACACTTACAACAGACATCACGTAGCAAAGAAAACAACTCACCTTCATAATTGTTACACGGAGATAATATTGTTCTAAATTAAGATATTTGCTGAGTAAATCTTGTACTTTACAAACAAGTTGAGAATTTTCAAAAAATTTGGAGATCTCATTGATTTTCTATAAAAAAGATTGACTTATTTTTAATATTTTAATCTACATTGTTAAAACGATGGATGATACTACATCAAGTTACAAATTTAAGAAACAGACAACATTATATTTACATTCATATAGCAAGTTTCAACGAGACAATACACTAAGATGATAACAACTTGTGTGGATATACAAAATTAAATACGCAGATAACATGTAAACTATTTGAAAGATTCTAGATGGATAGAAAGGAGATGGCCATACAGATAATTCAGCGAGATGAGAACTTAGAAAAGTTGATCTAGTACTATAAATTAACGGTGTACAAGTTCATATAATATTACTCAGAAATATAATGTTATTTTCGGCTAATAATACCCCTTTTTATAGCTGAAATCATGAGTCAATTAAAGCTGGACCACCAGGGAAAACCTGGAAGCACTGGACGGCCATTTCGTCCTATTGTGAGACTCCTCAGCAGTGAGTACCCGCGATCCCGCCTCGAGAGATTCGAACCCAGGACCTACCAGTCTGGCGCCAGAGCACTTAAACGGTAGACCATTGAGCCGCCACCCAATGGTGTAAATGTCCTGAGTTCGAATCCCGCAAAGCAGGATTGTGGATGCATACTGTTGAGGAGTCCCACAATAGAACGAAATGGCTATCCAGTGCTTCTAGGTTTTCCATGGTGGTCTAGCTTCAATCGACTCATGATCTCAACTATATGAAATTACTAAAATCTCCACAAAACCCCCTTCTGATAGTACCCCTTTAGTTGTACAAACCTTTATAAGTGAAAAAATCACCCACAACTCACTCATTAAAATTAAAATTCCTAAATTACATTACAAATAAGATTTCCTCATCACTTATGCAATTTGAAGAATTACAGAAGGCAAAGTATGAATAGTAATAAATAAGTAAATGTACACTTGTAATTGATAAATTATAAAGATACAATATCAAAGGTTAATTAGTACGCTATAACATTATAAAAGAGCGAACCATTCTACGTACTTTTAAAATCATCTTCTGTGAGATCGCACTGTTTAATATCAGCCTACAGAAGAAAAAAAGACATCAAGACAACTCCACATATTTACATATACATGGTCTGTGATTGCATACCAAAAAAAAATATCTTTGTGTTCATTTAATATTGTTTGTTTGAATCTTCCTATTGATGTTTGCCTTGATATTGCCTCAATTCACAAGCACTGTAAGCAAAGATGGATAGTGGCTAGCAGTGGAATCCAGGACGCACAGCATGCACATATGCCAATTAGAGACTGACCAGTTGCAGTTCTAAACATCAATGGGAAGATTCAAACAAAAAGTACTAAATAAATTGAAACTTCACCCCATTGCACAAGCAAGCGGCTATCAGGACTCAGTGGCCGAGTGGATAACGCGATGGCGTTTGAAGTGAAAGGTACTTGGTTCAAGTCCCAGAGTGAACAACAACTCTGAGATGCAGGTACATCCAGCTGACAAGTCACGAATAGAACGAGACGCCCGTCCTGGATTCCACTGCTAGCCACTATCCATCTTTGCTTAAAATATCTTTGTGTTTTTACTATGAGCAAGAAATAGAGCACTCTTCAATAAATATATGAAGCCTATAAATAAATATAATCAAGTTCCTTTTCTCGAACTGTTTGGGACTTTAATTTTGTTAACGACTTCACCTTTCTCGAACTGCTCAAATATTTCACATATTTCAGGTTAATTATTTTTCATTTGAATGAAAATAATAAATTTCAATAGGGTTTTGTTCTTTAAGCTAGATGGTTTGGTCGTGAAGCTTTCATCGTTCTTCTGAACGATATCATCAGTACAAACTTCATGTAGCAGTGATCAAATTCTCAATTATAGTAGAAACAACCAAAGAGCTCACAAAATCAACTGCGTACAAACTTTGTTCAAGAGGGTGAGGACACACTGCAACACATTTACAGCACGTAAAAATGGAGAAAAATACCTGGACACGATCTTTTAAAAGAACGGCTACCCAATCAACTTCATCAAAAAATACAAGCCAAACGCATCATCAGAAACAATTTCAAATACATAAACCAACAAACGGGTTACCCTACTATATATAAAAGGCATATTAGAAACTACAACGACATTGTTGAAGCCTTTCAGAATATATGTGTAGAATACAAACCAACAAAATCCCTACAATCAATCCTATGCAAACCAAAGGACGAAAAGGCAAAAGAAGAAAAACCGAATATCACCTACGAAAAAAAATTGTGCCGACTGCGAAAAACACTACATCGGACAAAGCGGACGTCCTCTTCATCTTCGCCCGCACGAACACCAATTAGCAGTCAAACGGCATGACATCTTTTCACTTATATCAATACATGTGGAAAACCGTGGACACACATTCGACTGGTAAAATGTGGAGATCTTGGATGGAAGGAGTTCTAAAAACACGAGAGAATTCTTAAGAGCTTGGTGCTCAGGTCAATCAGCAATCAACAAGCAGACTTAAATCGATCCAATTTATCAACCAATCAGAAAAAATTATGAACAAACACGGGACCAAAAATCAAACCAATGGGAGATACAAACAAAATAGAGTAAACAATGACAGGTTTAAGTTCAACTAAAACCAACCAACATCGAGGTATACAGGACAAGGTGTGAACCAGATGTGGTGAGAAGAAATCGGCGTGAGAAACGGTGTCTTTTCGTCATCTCCGCCTATGCCCCGACAGATTGCAGCCCGGATGCAATCAAGGATGAGTTTTACCATCAGTTAACAGTTCTTCTCCAGAAAACGCGTTCGACAGATATTGTAGTACTAGCCGGAGACTTGAATGCACAGGTCGGGCGTCTAGGCACAGAAGAGAGTCGTTTAGGTGGCCGATGGGGACTTGTTGGTCGCAGGACAGATAACGGGGACCGTTTGCTGCAACTGTGCACAGACCACAACCTGTTTCTGGCCAGCACTAACTTCCGGCACAGTCATCGCCGGTGTGCCACCTGGCGTCCTCCCTCTGCATCCCAAGCCTGGACTCAGATTGATCACATCGCGATCAGCTACCGCTGGCGTGGTTGTGTACAAGACTGCCGCTCCTTTTGGAGTACCTATCTGGAGTCTGATCATGCCCTGGTCTGCGCCAATCTCACCTTACTTTTCAGTGGCCGAAGGATTGACCACCACCAACGGATTGATGTTAGTAAACTGGCTGCAACATCTGTTGCAAGTAAGTATGGAGCGGAGTTAGCCTCTAGGCTAGCTACCATCCCACCGAAAAGTATAGATGAGCATTGGTTGCTTCTTCACGACGCCATGAAATTGACGAGTAAAGCCGCTTGCGGCTTCGCGAAACGTCCCGCTTACAAGCACTGGGTTTCTTCTGGCTCCTTACAACTGATGGAAGCCCGTCGGTCTACTCCGGGTGACCGTGAGTTTGACCACAAACGAAGGTTGTTACGTAATGAAATCGGGCAAAGCTTGCGTAAGGACCGAGAAGCCTGGTGGTCGGAGCGTGCTAATGAGATGGAAAAAGCAGCTGCATCTGGTAACTGCCGGAAGCTCTTCCAACTCATCCGAGCCACTGGCAGCAAGAAGTCTGTTGTGAGTGAAACAATCTACGAGGATGATGGGATGCCAATCACTAACATCTCTCGACGTCTTGGACGATGGGCGGAATTTTTCGAAGGGCAGTTCAACTGGCCTGCTGCTCCGGCAACATCAACCAGTTTGTCCTGCCCCCCCCCATGGCCGGTGACGACTGATCCACCAAACGAGGCGGAAGTCCGCAATGAAACTCCAACTCTTGAAACGTTACAAATCACCGGGCCCAGACGACTTACCTCCGGCTCTTTTTAAAGATGGTGGTGACTTTCTGGGTAAGGAACTGACTGTGTTGTTTGGAAAGGTTTGGGAGCAAGAAAGTGTTCCAACATCTTGGAATGAGTCAATAGTCGTCCCTATCTTTAAAAAGGGTTCACGTTGTTCCTGCAATAACTATCGGGGGATAAGTCTACTTTCGATTGCGTCCAAACTATTGGCTTCTATCATTCTTCGTAGGTTGTTTAAAACCCGAGAACGATTGACTCGCGAGGAGCAGGCTGGTTTTCGTTCTGGTCGAGGATGCATTGATCACATCTTCACCCTCCGCCAAATGTTAGAACACCGTCATACTTATCGCAGGCCAACAATCGTAGTGTTTCTTGATATCAGGGCTGCCTTCGATTCGTTGGACAGGACTGTTCTCTGGGATTGTCTATTGAAGAAGGGTGTGCCTGAGAAGTTCATTAACATCTTAAAGGCCCTGTATACGAACACCTCAGGCAGAGTGAGGGCATACAACCACCTTTCTCCCTTGTTCCATTCGAGCAGTGGTGTTAGGCAGGGTTGCCCGATCTCACCATTCCTCTTCAACTTTGCAATCGACGACATCCTGGAAACAGCTCTGATGGATGTAAGTAATGGCGGTGTGGATATGTTGCCTGGAGAATGACTTCTCGACCTCGAGTATGCGGATGATGTTGTCTTACTGTGCGATAATGCTCAGGCCAAGCAATCCGCACTTAATCAGTTGGCAATCAGTGTCCGCAGGTACGGCATGTGCTTTGCACCCTCCAAGTGCAAAGTACTCCTACAAGACTGGCAGGATTCTAATCCTGTACTCACCTTGGATGGTGAGGAGATCGAAGTAGTTGAGAAGTTCGTGTATCTAGGTAGGTATATAAGTGCTGGTGGTGGCGTGAGTGATGAGATTGGTGCACGTATAATGAAAGCCAGAGCGGCTTATGCCAATCTGGGCCATCTTTGGCGCCTTCGTGATGTTAGTCTGGCTGTAAAAGGTCGGATCTACAACGCGTCGGTGAGAGCAGTTTTGCTCTATTCTCGTGAAACCTGGCCTCTCCGAGTTGAGGATGTTAGACGTCTCTCTGTGTTCGATCATTGTTGTCTCCGAAGGATTGCTGACATCCAGTGGCAACACCATGTTAGTAATGCAGAGGTTCGGCATCGTGTGTTCGGGCGCAGAGACGATAATTCAATTGGTGTCACCATGTTGAAACACCGACTTCGGTGGCTTGGACATGTTTTACGAATGTCGTCCCAGAGACTTCCACTTCGTGCATTATTTGCCGACTCTGGGACTGGTTGGAAAAAGCGGAGAGGAGGTCAGTGTATGACATGGTGTCGTGGCATGAAAGAGAGCTGCAAAGGGCTAGCATCTGTTGGTCCTTCACGACTCCCTGGCTGGGGTCCGAGAGATGGTGCAACACAGTGGCTAGAGACGTTATCAGATATGGCTCAGAAAAGAAGCCAGTGGCGATCCTGCTGCAACCTTCTTTTACTTTCTACATAAAGAATGGTTCTAACTTTCTTAACTGAAAGAGTCTTCTGGTTGTACATTTCAGCCCGCCTTATCTTTTCATCCTTTCCCTTCCTACTTTCATTATTTTGTGTGGCGCATATGTAACTGGTGCCCTTTTGTACCAATATATATGTGTTTAAATAAATAAATAAATAAATAAATAACATGTGGTGAAGTTTATGCTGATGATGTCGTTCAGAAGAATGATGAAAGCTCCACGATCAAACCATCCAGTCCGGTGTCAAGCCCCCAAATGCCCTGGTACGGCCGAGAGTGGGGAGAGTCTACTCTCCCTCTCCAAATGCTCTCACATGGCCAGCGAATATATAGCCTCTGCCAGGGATGTCCTACTCACTGCCTTCTCGTGGCGGGGGTGTTGTTTACGAAAGTGAGAGGACGAAAAGCGAATGTCCGGCGCTTTAACCGGGTTGGTGGACACGCAGGGTCCACCTAGGGGAGTTGGAAAACCCTGATTCCAAACCAATGGTGCACATGGGCTCCAGTATCCTGATGGAACGAATGGCGGACGAACCTGTCATTGGTCAACGGCTACCATGGGACTGCATCTCCTCACGATGCTCCATTGCCTTGTGGATCAGACCTTTTGGTCAAAGGCTCGGGGTGTGGCCCCCTAAGAATACCACCTGCTTCGGTTTGGGCACCCGGGCAGTATCACAGCCCACATACACAAATAGTGTGGCGCATATGTACCTGGTGCCCTTTTGTACCAATATATATGTGTTTAAATAAATAAATAATAAATAAAACAAGTAAATACCGTGCTATTGCAATGCTGAGTGCGCTATTCCCTCAGTCTCAATTTCTTTGGAACATGCTCAGAAATGCGAACATGTTCTAGCTTTATTTAATAATAAATATATTTTATTGTTATATCCTAACGAGTAGAAAAATTATCTTTCTGAAGACGTGGATGCACACTGCTGAGGAGTCCCACAATAGGACGAAACGGCTGTTCAGTGCTTACAGGTTTTGCATGGTGTTCTAGCTTCAATTGATTCATGATCTCAACTGTATAAAATTACTAATCTCCACGAAACCCCCTTCTGGCATACATAATTTAACTGAAACTTCTCAATTTCAGTCAATTAAAAACTGACTTCTCAAAATTGTGAATGTCTTTATTTAAAATTTTAATGTTAATATGATTATTCATAATATAAAACACAACTTACAGAAATTCGCCTCAGTATAAATCTCAAATAAAGTTCTGAACAAGTAATGATCTGGAGCGTTTCAACAATTATAGGCTCAATGACTAATACGCGATCCGATCCTAATTCGCTTGGATCCAATATTTTATCTCTATTGATCAACTGAGCTGATGAATCATGCCTTTTACTGCTGAAACTATTACTATTTGATTTCTTGAGCATTGAACAAAGTTCATCAAGATGATGATAAGAATAGAAACGCTCGACTACACACTTGACGTATCGGTCAACAACACAATGAACAAAGGATACAAGCCCAAATATGTTGCCTGGACCTAATTAAAACATAAGAAAATAAATAGATCACACTACGTAACCTAGTTGCAGTTAACCCCACATATATAAATTCGTAAAACTGTCTGTTATAAATAAATAAGTGATGTACAGTACATTTAGACTGCGACTAGCAAAAGGATAAAGGACGCGTGTTGCTTCCTGTTTAGGACACGTTAGATAGACGTACCAGCATCAGTGTTGATGCTTACATTGAGACCTCAACTCAGTAGCTATCACCTTAAAAGTCAACGCATTATCCAATAAACTAGTGATTCCACGCAGCCACTGATGTGTCCAACCGGTCAGGGTTCGTATTTTCCACCTAGTGAAATTTCAGGGCTACAAAGAAAGCATACTGAAGACTTGTAATTTAAAAGGAAGCATTTGCTCAGGATTCAAATATACAAGTGAATTGCACACCAGTATTTAAACAGCGGGAAAGCACAAACCCTTACAGAGAAACTGATGTGTTTGAACAGGTTAAGTGAATAATTTTCTAACATTAATACGACACAATTATTTACTATAACTGTATTACAAGATATTAGTACACACAGGATCATTACGTGTCATCATAAGCAAGTTAACCAGAATAAAACTCCCATGAACATAGTAAATGAGGAGACACAATGAGTCTACAAATTTTGGACTGTCGCATTCTTTACAAATAAGTGGTGTTAATAGACCTCTAACCCTCGGCACCACTAATTACTAGCATTGTGATCGTTAATTGGACAAGATATTTGAAATACTCCCTAAACAACTGATAAGACCCTTACTCGTCTCAATTCAGATAGTGTGATAATGGGAAATTGTTACAGTAGTATAAAATGTCAATTTGAACAACTGTGTAGTACCGGTAAACTGCACACTTAATAAAATGGAACTTAGAGTTGAGTTATTGAACTAGTCAGTCATTCAGTCAGTCACAACGTAGAACTTCGTACGTACGTACATCAGTTCGAGTTGCCATACCACATTACCACATTAGTCATCTTTAGATAGTAATATATAAACCAACTTATTATCACTGATTCTGTGATTTCAATTTATGCGACGAATGCTTCAACCATACCTATGATCAAGTACTAGCAATCTACTTATGTTTACTGTAATGAAATGCCATGTGTCATAGTTACAGAATAGTATACAGAGTAGACTTATACTCGAATGGAAGAAAAATCGTCATTTCAATCAAAACAGCCAAATTTTGTCCTGAAATCATTCATTGAAATGATAATTGGTGAACAATACTTCATTTTAATTATCGATAGATTATACTTAAGATAAACTCATGTGTTGAGGAAATTTCATAATTGTCATAAGCTGAAAAGATATTAGCTATCAGTGAAATCCAGGACAAGTGTTCCGTCCTATTTTGAACTCGTCAGCTAGATATAACTGCATCCTAGAGCTGATGTTTACTCCGGGATTCGAAGTCAGTACCGTTCGCTTCAATCACCATTGAGTTACTTACTTAGCTGCTGAGTCCCAATAGCCACTAGCTTGTGCGATAGGGTGAACTTTAATACATTTTTGTATTGGTTGTTTGAATCTTTCAATTGATGTTTAGGGCTGCAATTGATCAGTCGCTTATTAGCATATGTACATCCTGTGCGGATCGCCTCAGTCAGTCAGTCACAACGTAGAACTTCGTACGTACGTACATCAGTTCGAGTTGCCATACCACATTTACACGGAGATGCAGTTGTCGATTCAAATCATATATTGGTAGAAGTAGTAAGAGTATAAGCATCATGTGAAAGATTAGGGTTTGATGATGTTATTGAAGGAGTATAATCCAGTGAAATAAATTTGGAAAGAGAAAAAAGAATAGGGACATGAAGAATTCAAATGGTTAGAATTTGGTAGAACACAAAGAGTGGATGCACCTTCGCCATTGCAAACGATTTTGAGCCATATCATTCAAGGTCTCTAACTATCGGTTGCTATCATCTCGCGAATCCCAACCAGGTAGTCTACACCTACCAACATGACCCAGTCCAATTGTTAGTGACCTCATGGATTTTTGCCATGTTTTGGTCTGGCCGCCCCTAGCTTTCTTCCAACCTACTCCTACACCATGAAACATTGCACGTCGGTGCAGTCGGTGGTTGGGCATACGTAACACGTGTCCCAGCCATCTCAACTGATGAAGTTTCACTACTTCATCAATGGATTTGCCATCATTACCTAGTACCCGTTTCCTAACAACTGCATTACTTACTCGATGGTCCCAGGATATACGAGCAATGATTCGAAGACATCTATGATCGAATACTAGTAGCCTGCGAGTGTTCTCTACTCTTATCGGCCATGTTTCACTGCCATAAAGTAGGACGGAACGAACTGCTGCACAGTAAACCCGTCCTTTGGTTGCTAGACGGATATCTCGCCTACGCCATAAATGACGCAAGTTGGCGAAAGCTAGACGAGCTTTCTGTATCCGTGCTCAGATTTCGTCACACACCAGACCACAAGGGCTGATGAGACTCCCAAGATAAGTGAAGCAGTCGACACGCTCAACTACTTCACTCCCTATCATTAGTTCAGGTGCCGATGCAATCCAATACTGAAGTGACATTTGGCACTTCGAGGGAGAGAATCGCATCCCGAACATGCCTGCATAGTTGCTTATAGTGGTCAGAAGACTCTGCATGTTGCCAGCGTCCTTACCAAGTAAAATTATGTCGTCGGCGTATTCTGAGTCAACAAGTGAGCCTCCTGGTAAAAGTTTAACTCCTGGAGGTTTAGCTGATGAAAGTGCTATCTCTAAAAGTATGTCAATGACAAAGTTAAACAAGAATGGGGAGAGTGGACAGCCCTGACGAACACCACTTGAGGCAATCAGTTCTGATGACAGTTCGCCATAGGCTCTAACTCGACCAGTTGTGTTCGAGTAGAGAGCCTTTATGAGGTTAATGTACTTCTTTGTTACTCCTTTCAGTGACAAACACTGCCATAGAACCTCACGATCAACGGAGTCAAATGCCGCCTTAAGGTCAATAAATACTACTATTGTGGGACGTCTGAATGTATGTCTATGTTCTAGGACCTGACATGGGGTGAATACCTGGTCAATGCAACCACGTCCAGGTCGAAAACCAGCCTGGTTTTCTCTAGTCTGCTCTTCACGAGCTTTGGTTAGGCGACCTAGTATTATTGAAGCTAATATTTTAGACACTATATTAGTCAAACTGATCCCTCTGTGATTGTCACAGGAGGACGTTTGTCCTTTCTTATAGACTGGCACAATCAGTGATTGGGACCAGTCAGATGGAATTACGTCCCGTTCCCAGATTCTACATAAGACCTCAGTCAATCTCACTGCTAGTACTGGACCACCATCCTTAAAAAATCTCAGGGGTCAACCTGTCAGGGCCTGCTGCTCTCCGTCGCTTCAGATTTCCTATAGCTTTTTTAACCTCGCAGAGGGTTGGAGGACTTACCTCAATTTGTCATTCAGGACGACTGGGGATCGTGGGTAATTGAAGTGTGGCTGAAGGCCAGTTGAACTGATCCCTAAAGTGTTCTGCCCATCGATCCAATCTCCTGGATTGAGAATGAATGAGATGCCCATCTTTGTCTGAGACAGTTTCGCTGATAGTCGGGTTCCTAATACCGGTTTATTTAACGAGTCTGAATAGCTGCCTACTGCTACCTATTGCCGCTGACTTTTCCATCTCTCTTGCTTTCGCTACCCACCACTGTTCACGATCATTGCGTAGGCTTCTTATTAGCCTGCGCTTAAGTTGACTCCGCTCTTCGTTATGTTCAGAGCCAGGTGGGATGAGTTTTCGAGCATCTATCAGTGCGGTAGATGCTGCCGAGATCCATTGTTTCTCCCTAACCTTATGGTTTTACCTTACTAGCAGATATCACTGCTGTTTCCACAGCTTTTCGGATGTCATTCCACGCTACCTCGGGGTGGGCATAACTTACATGGCTGCCTAACTGGTTTTCTAGTTGTTCCTGAAATATATTCTTAGCTTGCCTATCATTAAGTAGAACCCTTAGAGGGTTCCCTGCAGTGTCTTTCCTACGTCCAGTAAGACGCAGACAGATACGTGCTCGCACTAAAGCATGATCTGAATCTAAACATGGGCTCCAGAATGAGCGACAGTCTTCTATCGAGCTCCTCCATCGGTGGCTGATAGCGATGTGATCTAATTGGGTCTAACGTTGGGACGAATTCGGGGGTCGCCATGTCAAAAGATGTTTTTCCTTGTGCTTAAAGTTAGTATTTGCAAGAAATAGGCGGTTATCTGAGCATAGCTGCAACAGACGGTCGCCATTATCTGTTCTTTCAGCCACGACACCATAAGACCCACCCAGGTGTCTTTACCTTTCACTTAGTTTACCTACTTGAGCATTGAAGTCACTTGCTACTATTACTACATCAGAACGCCTTGCTTTTCGGAGAAGGTCAGAAAGTTTTCTATAGAACTCATCTTTTATATCGTCTTAGCTGCAGTCAGTAGGACAGTAGGCAGAGACAAGGAAGAGGCAACGACGAGTTTCCCTATCTTTCCGAGTCCTTACTGATCCGTTTAGTCGGACAACGCATAGACGACTGTCCACTGGGATCCAGTTTAAAAGAGCTAGTTCTGCCCTACGACTTAATGCTATACCTACTCCAGCGAGGTCACGGGAAGCAGCATCAGGGCTTCCAGATACACGAAGTGTGTATCGAGATGAATCTTTATTTTGATTAGTTGCGGTCAAATGAATGACACTACTCACATCTTGTATGCGCGTTTCGGAGACGCAGCACATATCGATGGTGTGAGATTCTAGAGTCGTAGTTAAGGAAGCCTGTTGTCCTATTTGGCACAATGTTCTGACATTAAAAGTTCCTACATGTAGTTTAGAGCGTGGTTTCAGGAGACCAGGAATAACGTTCCGTGTACTCGAATCGTTTGCCCTAGCGGTGCGAGGTGATAAAAGGACGTGGGAAGGGTTAGTCGTGGAGATAAGTGTTATGAGGTGTAGGAAGGAT